CGCTCCAGCGGCAGCATCGGCGCCCTGCGGCACGTTGGTGCCTGCATCGGCGGGTGCGGCTGCTGGCGGCGCAGGCACCGCGGCCGCGTTCGAGGTGGACGGCGGTGCGTTGGCAGATCCATTCGTATTGGCGCCTGGCGCCGCGGGAGCATTGGTGTTGGAGCTGGACATGGCAGCAGCCATGCGGGACGGGTCGCCGAGCGAGGCGATGATGCGCGCAGCCAGGTCCGGGTTGCTGGATCGCACAAAGCTGATGCACCGGCTCATCTGCATCTTGAGCTTGTCCAGGTCGGCGAGGCGCAGGATGCACTGCTTCTTGGGCAGCAGATCGAATTGATCCTTGTACATGAACGCCATGATCTTGAGGCGCTTGGCAGGCTCGAGGTTGCCATTCATCGCGTAGAATGCCGGCAGCAGTGCGGTGACTGTGGCCTGGATCGGCGCGAGTTTCTGCACTTGGTCCAGGATCTGGTCGCGCTCGTCGTCGGCGATGTTCTGGATGATGGGCAAGCGCGGTCGCTGCGTTGCTAGCTCCTGATCGATCTTCTGCATGGCCGCACGGGCCTGCTCTAGCTGCTCGGGACTCACTGCAATGAAGCGGGCCTGCGCCATGTTGTTCGGGCGTCCCGCCATCTGGCCCTGCTGACCCTGAGGCTGGCCCGACGCGTTCGGCGCACCCGACGCATTTTGCTGACCTGGCTGTGACTGCTGCGAAGGCTGACCGGGCATCTGTGCTTGGGCCTGCTGCTGCTGCTGCTGGGGCTGCGGCTGCTGCTGAGGTGGCTGCTGAGGTGGTTGCGCGTTGTTCCCAAGCTGGCTCGGGTTCTGCATCTGCTGCGCACCCGGCATCGCAGAGCCAAAGCCAGCAGGTTGCGACTGGGACGGCTGTCCCGCTGCATTTTGTGGCATCACTGGCCTGACCTGGTTCGGCCAGCCCATGGGCATCTGCTGCTGTGCTTGTTGCTGCGTTTGCTGCTGCTGAGCTTGTTGCTGCTGCTGCTGCTGTGGCTGCGCCTGCTGCGGTGGAGCTGGCTGCTGCATGCCGTTCTGACCGAAGCCCGCCATATTGTTGGCGCCAGCCTGGCCTGCCTGGAAGCCCGAGTTGAGCTGGCGCTGCTGGTTCTGAAGCTGCTCCTGGCGCCAGATGTTGAGCTGATTGTTAAGGAACACCTTGTTGAATTGCTCTTGCGTCATCCCGAGCTTGGCCAGATGGTCGGCCGTGAGCATGGGCGGCGGAGGCGGGTTGAAGTCCGACAGAGACGGCTGCCCTGGTCGCACTGGCTGCTGTGCGCCTTGAGGCTGCTGTTGTGGCACATTGGGCGGCATCATGGACGGCTGCTGGCCCGGTTGCGGCTGCTGCGATTGCTGCGGCTGCTGCTGCTGCGATTGCATCTGTGGTGTCGAAGGAGGTCGGAAAGCGGGCGCTTGTGGGTTGGGCTGACCAGCGCCTTGACCCTGAGCAAGGCCGGCACCTGCCATGGACATCTGGTATTGGTGCTGCATGGCGCGCTGCCAGGTCTCTTCGAACGGCGCAAGGTAGTTGCGGTACTCGGTAGCTAGCGCTTGACCGAGAGCTTGCGTCTGAGGCGATCCTAGCGGGGCGAGTTCGAGCGACATGGCGATAGCGGGCCACGCTCCCTTCTGATGCGCACCTTCGCTGCCGCCGTGCGCCTGCACGATCTGGTAGAAGCGGTAGAGATCGAGTTCGCGACCGCCCACCTTTGGAAGCGATGTGATGGGCGTACCACGCTTCTTCATGAGATCCACCAGCGCTTTCATGAACTGCTCAGGCCGCAAGGAAGGAACACCTTGCAGCCCAGACATGCCCGCCTGGCCGCCGACGTTGATAGCCCCCATCTGTGGCGAGGGGCGCACTTGAGGCGACTGGTGCGGCTGCGTCTGCTGGGCATTCTGGGTCTGCATACCAGATTGGTTGAGCATGGGACTTCCGAACTGACCCTGGGGCGGACGCGCGGAGCCCGGCCTGTTGGGCGGTCGGATGACGGGCGAAGCTTGCGGCTGTGCGGCCGGGTTGTTGCCCATCATGCCGGTGCCCATGCCCCCGAGACCTTGCGGGTGCTGCATCTGCTGGTGCTGCGGCTGTGGCTGCTGCGGCTGCTGTGGCTGCGAAGGCTGGTTCGGCTGGGCCTGATTTGCCTGTGGATTCTGCGCCTGCTGTCCCTGTTGCATGAGCGCAGCGAATTGCTGTGCATTCTGCACATTGAGACGCTGTAGCAAGGCGGACTGAAGCCTCTTTGCCTCGGCGTGCTGCTGCTGAACTGCCTGGCGCTCCTCGGCGCTGAGATCCGAGCTGAGCTTGCTCTCGATGTCGGTGACTCGCTGGTGGAGGAGACGCAGGAAATTGAGCGGGTTCTGCTGATTGCGCGCGTCGGTGGCCGTGTCGGTGCGGCCGGGCACTGGCCTTTGTTGCCCAGGCTGGCCGGGCTGCTGACCCATGATCTGCTGCTGCGGCTGCGCACTTTGCGGGTGACCGGCGACCTGCTGTGGAGGCTGGCCGCGTGCCATCTGCTGCTGCTGCTGTTGCTGCTGTTGGCTCATTTGCGCAGGGCCCTGGAGGCCCACTTGCTGCTGCTGGTTGGGCTGCTGCGCTTGCTGCTGCTGGCCCTGTTGCTGCATCTGTTGTTGCGGCTGGGCGGGCGATTGCTGCTGCTGCTGACCAGGCTGGAGGAATGGCTGCGAGCCCATGGTGGGCGTGGACTGAGGTCCGCCAGGACGGACCTGCTGGAGGCCGGCCATCATCTGGGCCTGAGCCTGCATCTGGGGCGTCCTCTGCAGAGCATTGGCGAAATTCTGACCGTTGGGCACCGACATGTTGACCATGGGCTGGCCCGGCTGCAGCGGCCTTGCACCGGCATTCTGATTCTGAGCGGCTTGCTGCTGGGCCTGCATGGCCTGTTGGCGGGTGATCAGCTGGCGTAACTGGTGCGATCGAAACGAGGAGGGCCCGGTGTGCAAGGCAGCGGGGCGCAGATGGAAGTGTCAGTAAGGATGCTTTGCAACTATATGCGCGAGCCGACGCGGCGAGCGGAACGTACCTGAATCATTTGCTCTTGTGTGAGATTGCCCTTCTTAGCCTGCTCGATGGCGTGTGATAACTGGGCAAAGGTCGGAGTTGGCCCGGCAACGCCGCCGACCTGGGGCGTCGAGCCCATGTTGGCGTTCTGCTGCTGCTGCTGCTGCTGTTGTTGTTG